TCTCTCAGCCTCACCTACCTCACAGGGTGTCTGTTGTGGGGAGGGGAAGGGGAAGGGAAAGGGAAAGGAGATTGTAAGCCGCTCTGAGACTCCTTCGGGTTGTGAAGGGCCAGGTACAAAACAATCTCCTCCTTTTTTTCTGTCACAGGTGCCTCCATTGTAGGAAGATGCTTAACTTGCCACCTCCCACCCTTTTGTGATTCATCCAGGCCACCACAGCAGCCCTTTTATGGTGGAGCCTGTTCTCAAAATCCCAGAAGCACTCACAAGCAGCATTCACTCTAAGCTGAGTTAGTGTAAGCTAGCTCACAGTTTTTTTAGCCTCCAGCTTGCACATTTTTTGCCTTAGCCCAGGAAGGGATGGCTCCGGAGCGAACTAATTTCTGCAGTAGCCAAATCGCTCCCTCACAACTTTAATGCCGGTAGCTCACAAAGTAGAATCTTTGCTCACAAGACTCCACAGCGTAGAGGGAGCATTGCTCACCAGCTGAACAAAACTGAAGACCCCTGTGGGTTAAGTGTTAGATCGCGCTAACAAAGGAACCGTAGAGTGATTCAGCAAGTGATTCAGCTTTATTTAGAAGTAACGAACAAGCACTAACTCAGTAAGAAACCAGAACAGAAAACAGTGGGAGCTTATGCTCCTTTTAAACATAACCGGGCTAATGTAGCCACGCCTATTTACAAATAACAACCAATGAGATTGCTAGAATAAAGACCAATGGGAGTCTTTCCCTCCTAGGGAATGGTATCGTTCTGATTGGTCGCTGTTACGAAGCGACCAATAGGAAGTTCGCTCAGAGGAGCCCTGGTCTGGCTCGAAGCTTAACATGGGAGTCCTATGAGGTGATTCATGTAATCATTTCAATACATTACAATTCCTCCCCCCTAAGTTAAGCCATCATCCCAATTGTTTTATTATTTACAAACATGCAATCAACCTTTGTACATCAGTTATTCCAACAGTATTTACACTCATAGTCCTTCAGATAAGTCGGCATTTGCCGCGAACGCTGGGACCTGCGGAGCGGTGCAGGCTCCATGGGCAGACAAGGTTGTGGGTCAGAGTGGGGTTCACTACAGCCTGGATCAGGCACAGACTCGACTGGGATTTCAGCCCCGCACACAGGGTTCTGCCCTGACTCGGGGACAGTACCGGGCCTTTCGGTACTCACCGCCTGCTCTGGGGGTGTCCACTCGACATCAGGGGATTCAGCCGTCGGAGAGTCAGCGCTGTCCCTAGCCCAACGTCTCCTTAACTGATCTATGTGGCGCCGCCATATTCGACCGTCAGCTAACTGCACCACATACATTCGAGTACCCACAGAGTCGGATATAACCCCAGGAAGCCATAAGTGCCCGTTTGCATAATTTCGTGCGAAAACCTTGTCCCCTTTTTCAAACATGCGCACCTTCGGTTGCGCCGTGGTACGCTCGGATTGCTCTTCAGTGAGGTCTGGGTGCATTCGGTTCAAACGGGTCGTGAGTCTCCGCCCCATTAACAATTCGGCCGGACTACGGCCTGTAGCACTACAGGGGGTGGTGTGCTGCAGCAAAAGAAAGGAGCCCAGCCTCTGGCTCCAGTCCCCTTCGTCCATTTTACCCAGGGCCTCTTTGGCCGTCCTGACCATCCGTTCGGCTTGGCCATTAGATGCCGGATGGAAAGGGGCCGAAGTCATTTGGCGTATGCCATTACTCGTGAGGAAGAGCCTAAATTCCTCAGACACAAATTGAGGCCCGTTGTCACTGACGATGACGTCAGGCAACCCGTGGGTGGCAAAAAGTCGGCGGAGCGCATGGATCACAGCAAGTGATGTGGTCGATTTCATATGCACGACCTCCAGCCATTTGGACATAGCGTCCACCACAATTAGGAACATTTGCCCTTGGAGAGGGCCAGCAAAATCTATATGCAATCTGGCCCAGGGTTTACCAGATGACTCCCAGCCTTGGGGTGTAGCTTGTGGGGGATCGGGTCTGACTTGCTGGCATTTGGGACACCCTCGTACCCATTCTTCGATCTCTTTGTCCAGCCCCGGCCACCAGACATACCCTCTGGCCAACGCTTTGGTGTGTACCATACCGGGGTGACCCTCGTGCAGCGACTCTAACACTCTCGTCCTGAGTTTGTCAGGAACCACCACCCTGTTCCCCCATAATACACAGCCCTTAGAAATGGATAGTTCATTTTGACGGCTTTTGTAAGGGCCGAACTCCGGTTCAACGCTTCCAACCGGCCACCCCCTCCAAACCCAGTTTAATACTCGGGACAGCACGCTATCCTTGGCCGTGTGTGCTGCAATGTCCCTGGATGATACCGGGGGTCGAGGAAGCTCCTCAATTGCCAAGACCTCACAGGCGGGGGCAGGGTCTGCGCCAATGTCCGGCACCGGGCACCGGCTGAGGGCATCCGCATGCCCAATCGCTTTCCCAGGCCGGTGCTCTAAGTCAAAATCATAAGCCTGCAAAAATATCGCCCATCTAAGCATGCGTGGGGACATGATGTTTGGCAATTGCTTATCGGGCGCAAAAATCCCCAGTAGCGGCTTGTGGTCAGTGACCAGCAAAAATCGTCTGCCAAAAATAAAATCATGGAACTTTTTGACAGCCGCTACCAACGCCAGACCCTCCTTGTCTATCTGGGCATAGTTCCGCTCTGCCGCAGATAGTGATCTAGAATAAAAAGCGATAGGCGCTTCGCTCCCATCAGGCATCAGATGGCTTAAAACTGCGCCTACTCCAAAAGGTGAAGCGTCAGCAGCTAACACCAGGAGCTTGTGTTCATCATAATGCGTGAGTACGGCATTAGATGTCAGCAGCTCCTTGACTCCCACAAAAGCCTTTTCCTCGGCCTGCCCCCACTTCCATTTTGCCTCCTTGTGCAAAAGCGCGTGCAAAGGGGCCGCCACTGATGCCTTATGCGGTAAAAACGCATGATAAAAATTCAGGAGTCCTAAAAAGGATTGGAGCTCCTTCTTACTCACCGGCCTGGGGGCGTTTTGGATTGCAGATACCTTCTCATCCGTGGGGTGGACTCCCTCTGCGTCAATGCGAAACCCCAGGAAGTCCACACTTTCCACCCCGAGCGTGCATTTTGAGCGCTTAACTCTGAGACCGGCATTTTGAAAACGCCTGAGGACCTCTTTAACCCGGTCCAGTAGTTCCTGTTCAGACCCGCCCGCAATCAG